CTATTGTTATTATTATTGTAGAATCCTTCAAAGTGCATATAGGTACAGTACATGTACGCCTTTATAATCAGGTAGTTTCGCTTGCTTGTGTGTGATTCTCATGCGTATCTCTACCAATTCGTAGAATAATTCATAGCACGTAAAATTATTTTTAATTGTGTAAATAAATATATTGCAAGTATACAGTGTAACGTAAGACAAACATAAAAAATTAACGGAAGTTGTGTTTCACGTAACATATGTTATTAACCGTCGATTGTTTTATAAAAGATTATTCTTTTATTACCAGGAAATTGATTGGAAAAATCTCATAGAAATTTAAAATATGTCCTTACACGTTCAGAAGCAGACTATAGGTACCTATAAAAAAGAATATGCAGCTAATTCAAAGCATTCTATAATTTATGAAGACATTGATATGTTAAAATTAATAGGGATTATGCAAATGTGAAATTGACTGAAATACGAGATATTAAATTTTGGTTGTATAATAATAAATCGTTTTTAGAGTAAACAATAACATGTTAACTTTGTTAATTCCTTCAAAAAAAAATAAAATAAAATATTGGATATATGTCTCTGCTTCTAATTTAGTTTTGGTACGTTTAAAATTTAACTGCCTGGGAATGGGCTTCTTGGGAATTAGCGGATTACGGCAAAATCTACTGTTATCTATATCATGTGTAAACTATCTAATTTATATTAGAATGGCGCAGGCAATCTACTGATAGTGTCATTGCGGAAAGTAGAATTAAAAAAAAAATAGAAAGGAGAATTGGAAGAAATACTTCTGCTGAAAATTATGAAATTCCACAAAATACAGTTTGTCAACAAATCATTAAAACTTAATTATTAACTCAAAATAACTTCATGACAAGTACATTTTTCTATAACCATAATAAATTTTGCAGTCCCTTAAAATTCGAATTATAGGTTGTTATCAATTTTTGACGTGACAACGTCTTATAATTCGATGGAGCCGGCTGCACGCACGAAAAAACATGACTCATGCGCCGTTACCTCGCTCTGAGGCGTTCCATTTAAGGCTTGAAGTGCAAGCGAGAGCGCGGAACGAGCGACAAAGAGGCACAATCGGCCTCCGCGTTCGGCAGCGTTCGACATCTGTCTCTCTCCTACTTGAGTGAGCGATGCGTCCGCGTGGACAGCTGCTATACAATAATACATTTCCATTTACCTCCTTCTCTATATCCATACAAAATATCTATCAAACAAATAAAATTAAAATTTTCTTTTGAAAAATGAAACCATTCCATCAGTATTTTCTTATGACGTTGTCACGTTCAACTATCGTCAGTAAACCGACTTTACAGACAACCGATTTTTTTTTAAAGGGAAGCATTGTTTCGTTAATATAACCATTATGATGTTTATTAGTATGTGGGCTTTTTATTTAAATAAAATTTTTAATGTACTTCTTCATTTCATGAACCGTTTTACTAAGAACTGGCTATAGTTAAGACGATCAGACTTGACAAAGTCCGCAATAAATTATCTGTGAGAATGAACGTATCTTCTTTCTCGGTTCCACATGAGACTGTAGTCATTTGCTGCGTTTTGAACATGCCCTTATTAAGTTAGGAAATGCTTCATGGGTAATGCAGACAAAGTGAAAAGAGATAACCGAATAATAGTATGCGATGCAGCGGTTAGAGGTTGCTTAAGTACGCAAAAAGTCAGGGTCGGCTTTAAATCTGCCAGATTAGAATTATATCTTTAAACAAGCGCCTTTGCTTTCCTAAATACCTGAGAATGTTGAACTTTATAAAGTCCGATGGCGGGAACATGTTCAAATTGTGCTTGTCTGCGTCTCTTTCAGTTACACATTAATTGGTGTATTGTTATTCCTTTTTCTTTATTAGTGTCCGCTGCAATTCCTTTCTGGCATCTCTTTTCTATGTTTACGATATTTCCTATTACGTTTGTCATGAGTAAAAGTAGATGTTTTGTTAGAAACCGCTCTAGTCTAATTAATAAGTTGAAAGAAGAAAGTAAATGCGACAGTTTTATTGAGGACTATGCCAATTTCGAACGTCCCAACTATAATAATTAACTTTACCAAAATGTTGAGTTCTTTGCCAGTAATTTATCAAAACTTGCACATGAGGATCGCGATCTCGGGCTTACTACTTCTAATCAGGAAGTCATTAGGAGGTGCTACTGTTAGCAGCAAATACCACTACGTGACGATATAGTTATAGTTGGTGCCTGCAGCTCGATATTAAAAGTGTCTTTGATACAAAAGCCTAATTAAATCATTCATCAACGTAAAATAAACAATTATGGGACATAGCCAGGTCTTGGTTTCATGTTTTAAAATCAAGGCGATAAGATTTAACACGTTTCCTATCGCTTTCCTTTTGTTATTTTTTACGAGGAATCCAATACAACCAATGTATGTACAAAAAACTCTATTGAATTTAATAATATTGTATTTACAGAGAGTAATAGTCAAATTTGATGTAGATACATACTAAGAATGTTACGAATATAAAATTTTGTATATGAAATTATTTCGGATTAACCGATAGTCTTGGATATTTTTTTTTAAATATTCGAAATTATTCGAAACTTTTATATCAGATTCAGTTGCTGTTTCAGATACGAGTTTTATTTAGGATACCGATAGTTTTTGATGAAAGTTGAAAGGAATATTGCCTGGATTACCAAATTTGATAAAATCCAAAACTGCCGCATCGGAAACAAGTTTAAAATTAACATAAAATTTTTTTCATCTCGCGGAATTTCGTCGGATTAAGAAAAATTTAGGAGGTTGTACTTATGTGAAGTTTCTGTATTAAATGAATTGTACTTGCTGAGTACTTTTTACCTGCCTAAATGTCATTTGTCTGTCAATTAATGTAAAAAATGACCATTTTCTCAAATTCAAATTAAGTACGATCATCTTGTTAAGTCAAATCCTATCTTAAATTCATATTTTGGTTAATATTTGTAGTAGAAATTCTGTTTTTAAATTTTTCATGTTGAAACTCCAAGGTAATCACAGGTTTTAAACATTACAAAGTTGGTCTGTGTTCTGTCGGAGCTGCCTGCGACGCGCTGATGAGATCCAAAAAGATCGAAATCGCGATCCGCGTCTGGCAGTTTCGACAGAATACAGACCACTTCGAATTATTTTATTACAATCAATGTTATTCAAAAAATGCACTAAAACTTGCGATTACTCTGGGGTAACAAAGTGACTTTTTAACATAAAAGTTTAAAATCAGAATTTCTATTACAAACTGTAACGTGTATCTACGTGTGGGTTTCACATAAAAACAAGATTTGTTTCGAAGACGACTGACTCAAGTTTTAGATTTCATCACATTGGATGATCCAGACAAAATTCTTTTCAATTTTCAAAAATAATTAATCATCACCATTAATAGACTTCTAATAAATGATCAAATTTCATAATTTTTTTCATTAAATTTTAATCTAAGGACAACTATTTTAAACAAGAATATCCAAGGGCGGCCTTAGCTATTGTGAGGCTCCGGCCGGGTAGATCTTTGTAGAATTAGTTTTAATTATGATTACTTGACGAGAAATTTATTAATAAAGTTATTAACAAATAAATTTAGAGTTTTAAAATAATTTACCTATTGGAAATTAAACCAATTAATAAACACACAGATAACAAATTATTAACCATGATAAATTAAGGTGCATTAAAGTCTTAAAAAACTCAGGGGCTCAGAAATGATGCTTGCGGCTTTTTTTAGGACTAAGAAATTCAAATAAGCATTGCTACTATTAGTACCTAGTATTTTTCTACTCTGTAAGAGCGAGGCCACGGGCGGCTGCCGTGATTGCCACCCCCCAAAGGTCGCCCCAGAAAATACTTTGGAAAAATTACTATTTTTTGTGTTTAATTTAATAAATAATACATATAAATAAATCAGTGCTTTATATTCCCTTTTAGTTAATTATTTCCCTGATTTTCCAGCTTTTACATGTTCTTCTAGTTTTTTTAGACTTTTAAAATATAAACACCCTGTCTATCTTTCCACAATTACGTGTAATTGAACACATCAGAAAATGGCTTATCAAAATACTAGAAACTACTATGAGAAAAATTACATTCGTGCATGTATGAATACTTGTTTAGAAACTGGCCGAGATCTTCAACTGATATGTACGTTTAATCATTTCACAAGAAAAGAAAAAAAACGATAGGATGCATGATCTATTTTCAACACGTCCCGACATAAAACGGCTAGTAAATTCTAATATTAAAGTCAAATTTGTTTCGGTTACCACGCTAAAATTGGTACACGTATACTACCTACTTAACAATAAAACTGACTTCATTCATTAGTCACATTCATCAATGACCTATTGAAACACTGAAATAATGCTAACAAATAAAATTTTATTTTTACGATAAAAATCACCGTTATACATAATGCAATCGTTTCTTAAAAAATAAAACCTAAAGTTACAAACTGATGTTATGACAAACGTTTCATTCATTTTTAATAATAAATAAAAAAATGTAAATTTTATTTTTTTACTGACTTAAGAATTTTCATCTCGATTTACAATTAATTAGATATCTTACGATTAAAGATATTTTAAGTAAGTACCTTCAGAACAGAAAAAACAAGCATTTAAGTAAAATTAAAACTTTGTTTGGATTAAAGGATGTAGTAATTTATCGACGATAGGTGTTCCAATTAGTTATTTATAGGTCCCTGCGTGACTTTCAATCATTTTTCTAGTTGTAGTTTCGTACTCTTCCTTCAGAAATCATTATTAAGTAATGATTGGATTGACGAAGACAAAAAAATTGAAAATGAATTTAACGATCCGTTTCGAACGTGATGATAATAAAGGTAGAAGATCAATAAAAGATTCTGTAACAGACTACTTCTTTCAGACAGAAGCAGCGCATCTCGGGGCATGTTTTCAAAACTAATTAAGATATTTACAAGCAGATGAAAGTAAATGTAAACAAACAATGTTATTTTACTCACCGTATCCAGAAACTGGGTGCAGGTGTAAGGCAGTAAAAGACAAATCACAGGTCTCACAGAGAATACTGTTTTTAATTCTCTTTCTTCCCTTTTTTACCTAATTCTTTCCCCGCGTTACAAAATCACTCACTGTTATAGGTACCAATAGGAACACAAAATGAAAAAAAAAATCACGTTTGTCACTAAACCGCCATATAACAACAAACATAACAAAAATTAAAATATACTGTCACACAAACACCCCGTAATATGTAAATACCCAGATTGGGGACGTTTACTGGTAATTTACAATATTATCGGCCACCCCTCGAAGAAGGGGGAAAACCCAAGCCGCACGTTGACGTGATACCGTCCGGTAATCTTCACCACCTCGTTCGGATCACGTAGTGGATGAAAGGTGCGTTAACAAACCAGCAGATGGTTCCGGGGTAACGATGGAAAATCATCCCTTCGGATCGGAAGATGTGCTGCTAGTACGCGAAGATGAAAATCCGGCGTTTGATCTCCGTAACCAACGACGACTACGAAAACAACGTCTGATGGCAGTAAGAACATGATGGTATTAATACCTGCACCAGAGTGGTCTGACGCACGTTATAAGGCAACTATGAACCAGAGCCTAAGACGCCGTGTGGACACGATTGCCGCTCTTCGTGTGCCCCCACTGCCAAAGGGCACCGTCAAGTACGATAATTAACGCCAAAACACCACCACCTACAACCAGCGAAAATTAATCGCAGACGCCCTCACTGCGCTACCGCTAATTATTACCCAGCTGCCTTAGAATACCAATAAATACAAAAATTCCAAAGAACACTGACAATCATCCAAATTTGGGCTGGACACTAACGGAGCCGTATTATGAAAAAAGTTTTTTTTTCTATTATCTAGTAACTAATTTTAATCACGATTACAAATTATTTTCTTCAGCCAATGAAAAATGTTTAAATTTCCGACTGTTAATTTTAAATTATACTGTTTTTTCCAGGGTGACGGTCAAATAATTAAACAATTATGTTATTTGTTACGTTTCGGTTTATTCAACCATCTTCAGCCTGTTAAAAAGTTAAAAAAAAATTGTCACGTAACAAAAACATAAAGTTGTTTAATTATTTGACCGCCACCATGTAAAAAACAATGTAAGTTGTTTAAATGTCAATTTGGGTTTGAATATTTTAGCATCATAAAAATAAACAAATTTTCTAAAGAAAAAACAACATTACCCCAAAATAATTATATAGAATAAAAGGTGTATTTCTCTAAAACGAAGCTTTAAGTAAATGAAATTGAATAAACGATTTTTTTTTGCTATATAACATTTCTTTTATAAATATTTGAAGCGTATTTTCTAAAAGCAATTGTTTTATAAAATCATTTCTAAACAGTTTTCTTCTAAACCTTTATTGACCTTCACCGGATTCATATTCGTATTCAGCTACCCTCAAAACCCTGTAGTAACTAATTTCAAATTTATTTTTAATGAATTTAAAACGTAACTCCTGGAGACGACGTGCACGACGGTCGCCCTAGGTCTCAGGAACCTCGGAGGTCTGGATTTATAGTTTCCGGATTGGTAAGGTAATAGGTCGTGATGATCGACAACAACTATACATAGTAGTCGTT